GGCCTCGTCTCGCTCTAGCACCCTTCTGGCACCCTTCTAGCACCCTTCTAGCACCCTTCTAGCACCCTTCCAGCACCCTTCTAGCACCCTTCTAGCACCCTTCTAGCACCCTTCTAGCACCCTTCTAGCACCCTTCTAGCACCCTTCTAGCACCCTTCTAGCACCCTTCTAGCACCCTTCTAGCACCCTTCTAGCACCCTTCTAGCACCCTTCTAGCACCCTTCTAGCACCCTTCTAGCACCCTTCTAGCACCCTTCTAGCACCCTTCTAGCACCCTTCTAGCACCCTTCTAGCACCCTTCTAGCGCCCTTCTAGCACCCTTCTAGCACCCTTCTAGCACCCTTCTAGCACCCTTCTAGCACCCTTCTAGCACCCTTCTAGCACCCTTCTAGCACCCTTCTAGCACCCTTCTAGCACCCTGAGCCTCCTTGGAGCCGTCTAGGTGGGGCTTGCTCGGTCCCACCGCCGCACTCGCGCGCCTCGCGGGCTCGCTGCTGCTCGCCGCCGCCGCAGGCGCACGACAGGCACAGACAGACAGACAGACAGACAGACAGACAGACAGACAGACAGACGGAGAGGCAGGCAGACAGACAGACAGACGGAGAGGCAGGCAGACAGATACATAGACAGACAGAGACGAGGAGAGAGCGAGGGGAGAGAGAGAGAGAGAGACAGAGACAGAGACAGAGACAGAGACGACAGACAGACAGAGAAGAGAGAGAGAGAGAGAGAGAGAGAGAGAGAGAGAGAGAGAGAGAGAGAGAGAGAGAGAGAGAGAGAGAGAGCGGTCAGGATGCTCACGACGGAGGAGCGGTCTCACTGGAGCGACACACCTCACGGCCATCACAAGACAGCCAGCTGCTGCTCGCCGCCGCCGCAGGCGCCGCAGCGTCACTCGCGCTCAGAGGTGGCGGAGGCGGCGGAGGCGGAGGCGGCGGTGGCGGCGCGGAGCTCACATCGCGGCGAGCAGCGAGCGGCACGCCAGGAGCTCGGCGGTCAACCGTGTCGGGTCTTCTGGGCAGCGTCGGTGGGGCCGCTCTGAGCACGGCAGCAGACACCTTGCCGACGGTGGGTGTCGGTCTCGTCCGCTCTCCGGCGGCTGTGAGCGGCGTCTCTTCACACCCGCAGCGGTGTGTGAGAGCAGGTGGGGGTCGGCCTCGTGCTCTCGACGGCCGCGCTGCACTTTCTGCCCTGGCTTGGAACCGCCTACCAGGCCGAGCCACTTCCGAGACACTTCCGAGCCACTGCCGAGACTTTTCCGAGCCATTTCCGAGACACTTCCGAGCCACTGCCGAGCCACTTCCGAGACACTTCCGAGCCATTGCCGAGACCTTTCCGAGCCATTTCCGAGCCACTTCCGAGACACTTCCGAGCCACTGCCGAGCCACTGCCGAGCCACTTCCGAGCCACTTCCGAGCCACTGCCGAGACTTTTCCGAGCCATTTCCGAGACACTTCCGAGCCACTTCCGAGCCACTGCCGAGACACTGCCGAGCCACTGCCGAGATTGCCGAGACTTTTCCGAACCTGCCAAGCTCATGACGCACGTGCCACCTGGCCGGCCGCTAATAGCGCCGCCCGTCGCGTCCCTCTACCTCGCCGCCCCTGCTGCCACCGACGCCCTTCGCTGACTCCGCCACTCCCCCCCCCCCGCCCCCCCGCCCCCCCACCGGCCCCCCCCCGCCCACCCCCCCCCGCCCCCTCCCCTCCCCTTCAGAGCCTCGACGGCGGGGGGTCCCTCGGCCCTCTCCTCACCCGCCTCGCGGTCCTCGCCTGCGCCCTGCCGCTGCAGCTCTGCTGTGAACAGCGTCTCTCCACGCGCAGGGGTGCGGACAGGTCCTCGCCTGCGCGCTGCCGCTGCAGCTCTGCGAGCACTCGACCGTCTCGTACGCCTCTGCCATCCAGCGAGCGGGGGGCTCCTCCGGCCCTCGCACTCGCTTGCCCCGTCGTCACCTGTGTGAGGCCCCTCGTCGGTGTCCACGGCAGCCTCCTCCTTCTGCTAGGCGTCGCTCACGCTGTCCTCCTCTCGGCTACACCACACGATGGGCAGTCGGACCACCGCCGCTGCTCCTCTCAGGCCTCGCGTTCGCCTTCCTCCTCTCAGCGCCTGCCACCAACGTCTCGTCGCTGCTGCTGCTGCTCCGCGCCGGCGCCGGGAAGGGGAAGGACCCCCTCGCCCTCGCACAGGGCGGCGCCCGAGGTCAACCGTCAACTAACGCGTAGTCAGTACGCGCAGGCGACCTCGCGGTCGCACGTGGCGGCGCTGCTCTCCGTCGCCGCGGCGCTGACAGGCACCGCCACTCTCCCTCTCCTGCCCGGTGGAATGTTGAGAGCCTTCCTCCACTGCCCTCGCCCTCTCCTGCACTTTCTTCACACCTTCTCTAATATTCAGGCACCGCCCTCGCCCTCTCCTGCCTGGTGGAACCTTCTCTGCAACTTCTCTGCACTTCTCTGCCCTTCCTGCAGGCACCGCCCTCGCCCTCTCCTGCCTGGTGGACCACTTTGGGGTGGACCTGCTCGTCGACAGGGGGGAGGGGGTCGGCGCGGTGCCGCTGCCGGCGTGGTACACCGCCACGCACCTCTTCTGCACCTCCCCCTGAACCGTCTCTGAACCGTCTCTGAACCTTCCGGCAGGTATGTCGCCGCGAGCCCGTTTCTTGCCGCGGCGCTCGCGGCGGCGGCCGGCACGCGCCTCTCCCCGCCGCCCCAAACCGCAGGGGGTGAACCTCCCACGCACCTTCTCGGAACCGTCCTGTGCAGGTGCGCGCTCGCTGCGGTGGCACGCGCGACGGGGCGGCGGCGGGGCCGCGCATTGTGCTGCAGACGGCGACTGCTGCGCGCCGGAGGGAAAGGCCAAGGCGGCGTGAGGCCGCGCTCTTTAGGGCGGGCGCGCACCGCTCGAGCGGCAGTCGCAAGGGGGCCGTCCTTGCACGCGGGAGGGCGAGGGCGTGCCTTGCGGCTGCGGAGATTTTAGCTGGACAGCGGCGCCCCGGGAGTCGCGCGTCGGAGGTGGCGCAGGGGGCCGAGGCGTTTGTGGCTTGTGTGTGTGGGAGTGTGCGAACCAGGGCATCGAGTGGCGGGTCCTTTTAGCGTTTGCGCGTGGTGTGCTCGAAGTCTTTTTTTGCGCAGCGGCGCCGCCACGTGCGCGCCGGTCCCGTGCCCAGTGTCGTGCACATGAAACTCTTTTTGTCGTGCAGTAGCAGCAGCAGCGCCGCAGCAGCACCAGCAGCAGCAGCCGCAGCAGCAGCAGCAGCAGCAGCAGCGGAGTTAAACTTCTTTTTTGCGGTGTACCTGTGTTAGTGCTAGTGCGCTCCTTTCGCAGTGTCCGCGCATAAAATTCTTTTTGCGAGGCCCCATCAGGATTCCAGTGCTGCCCGCCTTGCGGCGGCGGCGGCGGGGCGGTGGGAGGTGTCGCAGGAGTGAGCGAGGCCGCGGCGAAGCTGCTCGAAGCGGTGGTGATCGCGGCCCGTGATGGAGACGTTGACACCGTCGAGGGGTTCCTCGATGCCGGCCTTGACGTGAGCGCGCCGCAGGACACGGACGGGCGGACGCTGCTGTACCACGCGTGCTTAGCCAACCAGCCCGCCGTGGTGAAGCTCCTTCTGCAGCGCGGCGCGATCGTCGACTTCGAGGCGCTGAATGCGGCTGCGGTGCTCCTTCGCCCGGCTCTCGTCCGCCTGCTTCTGGTCCCGGAATGGGAGGTGGATGACGACGTCGTTGACGCGGCCTTGATCCGCGTCGAGCGCATGACTGACGGCATTGCAGCACGGCGCGGTGATCAACGAGCAAACTTATCTCGGCAGCACCGCGCTGATGCTTGCCGCCGGGAATGGCCACGAGAAAGTGATCGATGTGATGATCCGGCACGGCGCGGCGATCGACCAGCAGACCAACACCGGCGACACCGCACTGATTCGGGCCGCTTTCTACGGCCACCCCACCGCCCTCCGCTGCTTGCTGCGGGCGGGCGCAGACACGAAGCTGTGCACTACGGATGGCACGACCGCGCTGCAGTTGGCCAAGCAGGAGGGCCACACCGAGTGCGTGCGCGCTCTCGCGGAGCATGCGGCGGCCGAGAAGGCGGCGGAGAAGGCGGCGGCGGAAGCGGCGTGGGCTGCGGGAGCGGCGGAGAGGGCGGCGCTGAGGGCGGCGGAGGAGAAGGAGGCGGCGCGGCACGCGGAGGAGCTGCTGGCGGAGGTCGAGGCGGAGAAGCGCGCCAAGGGCAAGAAGGGCAAGAAGAAGAAGAAGAAGGGCGGCGGGGCGGGCGGGGCTGCGGGGCCGTCGCAGGAGCCCGAGGAGGGTGCCGAGGCGCCGTCGGAGGCAGACGCAGCCGAGGCGGCGAAGAAGGCCGAGGAGGCGAGGCCTCTCCCGCTTCTCGAGACGCTCACCGAGGAGAGGATGCGGTTCGGCATCACGCCGGAGAGCCAGGCAGCGGCGTCGGCAGCTGTGGCAGCCGAGGTGGCGCGCTTGGACGCTGAGGCGAAGGCGGAGGCGGCGGATCTGGCGGCAGAAGCGGAGGAGCAGCAAGCGGTGGCGGCCGAGGCGGCGCAGGTGGCGGCAGAGGAGACGCAGGTGGAGGCCAGGGCGGCGCTGTCGGAGGCCCGTGCGGTGTTTGAGGAGGCGGCGGCAGCGCTGGAGGAGGCGGCGGCGGCGATGGGCGCAGCCGAGTCGGCTGTTGAGCGGGGCGAGACGGCGATTGAGGAGGCGATGGCCGCTGCAGAGGCACAGCGCGCTGCTGCAGCCGCCGCGAGGGCCAGGGCGGCTGCCGCTAGGATGGCGGCGGCTGCAGCGGGACAGGCAGCGGCGCAGGCGGCGCAGGCTGCGGCAGAGGAGGAGGAAGCGGCGGCTGCGCTAGCGGCACGAGCGGAGGACGAGGCAGAGCTGGCTGCGGCGCTCGAGGAGAGCGCGAGGCTGGAGGACGAGGCGAGGCGAGGGGCGGACGAGGCGTCGGGCTCCGCGCTGCCGGGCGCTGCTCAGTCCCCCGAGCCGGCCGCGGAGAGCGAGGTGCCGCCCGAGCTGCAGTGCCCGCTCTCCTTCGACGTGATGACGGACCCGGTGATCTGCGCCTCGGGCCAAACCTACGAGCGGTCGGCCATCGAGAAGTGGTTCGCGAGGGGCAACCGGACCGACCCGATGAGCGGCGCGGTGCTCGAGCACACGCAGCTGGTGCCGAACGTGCTCGTCCGCAGCATGCATGTGCCGCCGGTATGCGTCGGCGTGAAAGAGCCGGAAGATGTACGGGGCGAGCCCCGAGAAGTGCGGGAGGACGGCGTGTTCGGAAGGCGTTCGTTGTGCATGCGTCTCCAAGATGCGCGCGATGGGCGTCGACAAGGTCTCGGCGGAGGAGATGCAGTTCCTCTACTTCCACGGGCCCGAGTACAAGGAGACGCTCTGGCAGCTCGTCTGCATGCTCAACGACGCGACGGTGCACCCCTCCATCGCCGACTTCATGGCACATGGGCGACCTCCAGCTTCTGGGCATCGAGAAGCGCAACGAGGAGAACGAGGTCGTGGGCACGCGGCCGATCGGCATCCCCTCGGTCCTGCGCCGCCTCGCCGGGCGCGTGCTCATGCAGGCGTACTCCGAGGCGATGGGCGAGTTCTTCACCACCACGCCCGTCCCTCCCGAGCTGCTCGTCGCTGCCGGCCACGCCGCCGACCGCCGCTGCAACGTGCCGCAGCAGCTGGGCGTCGGCACAAAGGGCGGCGCCGAGATCATCGTGGCGGGCGTCCGCACGCACCTCGGGCTGCACCCCGACCACGCCGTCGCCTCAGACGACAAGAAGAACGGCTTCAACTCCATCTGGCGCCGGGCCATCTTCGCGAGGCTCTGGTACGCGCGCAAGGGGCGCCTCTTCACGCGCGTGCGCGGCGAGGGCTACGCGCTCGCCACCGACGCCGACGGCAAGGTCTACTACTCGGAGGAGGGCTGCGCGCAGGGCGACCCGCTGGGCCCCTTCCTCTGGTCGATTGGCTACCACTGGTCGCTGCTGCAGCAGCAGGCGGCGCACCCGGACACGCTGCTCTACGCGAATCGAAGATGTCACCTCGACGATACCTACTGCCTCGACGCGCCCGCCGCCGCTGTCGCCTGCATGGACACGGGCGCGCGCGTCACCGAGGCGGACTGCAGGGTCGCCTCCAACTTGTCGAAACAGTGCGTGTGGTCTCCGGGCGGCGCTGCGGCCCTCGCCCCGCTCTCCTCGCGCGTCGCGCTGCGCGGCACGCCGAACGCGCCGCCGACGAAGGGGCACGAGCGCGCTGGCGGCGGCACGCTGCTCGGGATCAAGGTGCTGGGCGCCTTTCTCGGCGACGTCGGCTGGTGCTCGGCGCAGCTGGTCAAGCGGGTGCGCATCGCCCTCGAGCCGCTCGACGGCATCATCCAGCTGCGCGACGCGCCCAGCCTCGACATCGCGCAGCAGGCACAGCACTGCCTCGTGCGCTACTGCTCCAACACCACCCTCGTCTACTTCCTGCGCACCATGCCGCCGTCCATGACCATCGAGGCGGCGCAGGAACACGACCGGCTCATCGCCTCGGCCTTCCACCGCATCGTCGGCTCCGAGGCGGGCTCGCCGGCGCAGTGCGAGCGTGCGCTGCGGCAGGCGCGCCTCCCGGTCAAGCTCGGCGGGCTCGGCCTCACCTCCATGGCGGCGATCCGGCGAGCCGCGTGGGTCGGCACCTGGGCGCTCGTGTGGACGCCGCTTCGGCAGCTCCACGCGCCTTTCCGAGCCGTCGACATCACGGCCGAGTCGGCGGCTGACTTCCAGCAGCTCTCCATCTTCACCGAGCTGCAGGACGCGCACAGCACCCTCCTCGATGACTACGACTACGTGGCGAGGACCTACGAGCAGTACGACCGCCAGGTCTTCGACTACTGCAAGGAGGGCCTCGCACACTTCCGATTTCACCCCGACGGCCTCCCCGACCGCGACACACTCCTCCCGTTGGCCTGCTTCGATTCTGGCAGTGAGCATCTACAAAGCGCACAGCGTCGCTACTCCCAGATCATTCATCATGCAGCATGGCTCGGCTTTTGGAATGCGTTGCAGCTACCGGGCGTGGCTAGGCGGGAGGCGGTGCGCTTCATCGCCGTCAGCCAGTACCAGGCGGGCGCCTTCCTCAACGCCGTCCCCTCGCGCCGCGACTTTCGTATCCCGACGTGGGCGCTGCGCATCGCCGTCCAGCGGCGCCTCGGGCTACCACTCGACGAGGCGCTCGCGCGGGGCGCGCCGACCTGCTCGGCGCGCGGCGGCAAGGTGCAGGACCCACTGGGCGACGCGGCCAGCAACATCGGCCGCCTCGGGCACTGCGGCCGCCATAACAGCCTCCTCGCCGCCCTGGCCAAGGTCATGCGGAGCGTGTGGGGCATGCTCGTTGAGGTGGAGCCGCGGGACCACCTCGGCTACTCTAACGACTACCGGCCCGACGTCTCGGTGGCGGGCGCCGGCCGCTCGCGCTCGCGCCTCGTCGGCGACGTCAAGTTCAAGGACTCGCTCTCCTCCAACCCGGAGGACGTCGGCCAGCGAGGCGCTTTCGTCGGCCTCGGCAACACCGAGCCCGGCACGAGCGCGGACGTCTTCGGCCTCGAGCAGCGCGGCGCTGTCGGGGACGGCGACTTCAGGCCGAGCGACGGCGGCGGCTATGTGGCGTACAAGAAGGCGGACTACGCGCACGCCCTCTCGCGCTCGGACACCGACGTGCAGATGTACCTGTTTGAAACCTTCGGCGGGTGGTGCAACGCGGTCAAACGGCTGTTCTACCAGATGAAGGACAAGGTGCGCAACAAGCTCTCGAAGCGGCAGCACGAGGACGAGGCGAGCTGGTCGACGCGGTCGTGGGGTGGCTGTCGCTGCAGGCCCAGCGCATGTCAGTCGCGCTGCAGCTCGCGGCGGCGGAAGAGATTGCGACCGAGCTCAGGCTCGCCGCGACCTTTCTCGTCGTCCACGCTGTCCATCGCCGCATCCCCATCCCCATCTGTGGCAGCGGCCGCCTGCGCCTGCGCCGGCCTGCTCTGGGACGGCGCGCCACCGCTCGTCGTGGTGAGGGTGGTGAGGATGATTGGAGTGACATTTTCTTTCTTTTGACCGCGCAAGATATAAAGGGTGGCTAAGGGCTCTGCCCGCAAGGCGCCCGCGTCGCAGACGCGGTACCATTGACAAATCTGCAATATGCTCGTCGCCCAGCATGTGCCACCACCGCCGATCCGAGTAGCCGTCGTACTCGACCTCGTGCACGATCCGTCCGTCCCCGTCCTCCTCCCGCGCCATGACGGTCGCAGGGTACCACCGCTCGCTGTCGCAGAAGATCTCGAGGCGCGATCCGGTGGGCAGGACAGTGTAGCCGTCGAGCGCCGCCCTGGCATCCTCCCGCTTTCGCTTCGCGTATAACTACTCACACAACTACTTCGCGCGGGACAATAGCTACTACTTACTGCACCTCCGGCACGCGGAGCCTCCGGCCCGGTCACATTGTACATACATACTATGTGTGAAGAGAGATGCCTGTTGTGAGCTGTGAGCTGAGAGGGTCGGCCCGCAGGCAGATAGGAAATGTCCCGTCTCCCATGCCCCCCATCTCCCTGTGGCCCCGCGGCGCGCGGGCCGCCACTCGGGCGCCAGTGTGGCAGTGCAGCACTGCAACGTCTGCGTCTCGGAGATCTTTGACCGCTCTTGCGGCTCGCCCGAGGCCTCGCGGGAGTTCGCGGGGCGGCCGGGGGCGACCCATATAAGAGTGTGACCAAAACCGCCTCAGTCTCTCAAGAAGAGACTCCAGACTCGTACCGCATCGGCCACGCTCTCATCTATCAGGCGGAGCCGGCCCGACGACTCTGCACTTGCCCACGGCTGCGGCAGGACACACGGTGCTGATGACAGCCACGCGCCGCAACGCGTCGAGTCGGCGGCGCTGCAGCCCTCTCGCCCCGCGGTGGCGCGCGGGCTCGTCGAGTTCTGCCGCGGCCTTGGCGTCCTCCTCGTCTGCGCTTTCCTTGGCGGCGCGGGCCGAGGCGAGGGTCGGCCGCTCTCTGCTGCGGCGTGTGTGTGTGACAGTGGTTGTGTTGGTGGCTTTGTTGGTGGTGGTGGGGTGGGGGGCTGGGGGGCTGGGCGGCTCAGGGGCGTAGGGAAGGCGGCGAGCGGGTGCGTGTGGCGCTCACCTCGATGTGCAGCAGCGAGCCGAGGTGCGTCCCCACGCCGCGCAAGTACCCGCTGTGCCTCACCGAGCCAACCTAAGGGGGAGATATCGGGAGATATCGGGAGAGATGGGGAGAGATGGGGAGAGATCACCAACCTAGGGGCGAGGTGTGGCGAGGCCTCTCCGTGTGCTGGTCTAGTGGTGGGGCAAGGGCCAGGCCGCCGCTCCACGTCCCAAGACAACGCGCCCCACGGCATTGAAACGGCGAGGCCCCGTGCTGGGCGGGTGGGGGGTGCTGGGCGGGTGGGGGGTGCTGGGTGGGTTGGCCCGCCTCTCTGCGGCCAACGGCGGCGCACGGCCAGCGGCTCGACGCCAGCTGCATGGCGCCGCCCCACGGGAGGGGCGCCTATTCACAGCGCTCGCGTCCTGGCCGCCCGCGTTTTCTTTTTTTGGGCACCGCGCCGCGCGGGGGAAGGGGCGCCGGCGGAGCGGCGGCGCCGCCCTCCGCCGTCGAGCGGGCGGGCGGCTGCAGCATGACTCGCACCCCTCCCGCCGCGCTGAGGTTGGCCGCGTGGATGCGGGCGAAGTCGCCGATGGCGGCGTTGATGCGCGCGTCGAAGGAGCGGTCGAAGCCGTGCCTCGGAAGGGGGAGGAGGAGGTGGAGGAGGAGGAGGGAGGCGTGAATGAGTAGCGCTAGGCGGCGGTGAGCGGGAGTAGTCGAAACCATACCTCGAGTTGCGCTTGCCGCCGGCTGGCGGCCTGGCGGGCACACAGCATGCGTAGTGGACGATGTGCGCCTGGTGCGGCGAGAGGCGTGGACGAGAGGCGTGTATGCGTGGGCTTGGTGTGTGTGTGTGTGTGTGTGTGTGTGTGTGTGTGTGCGTGTGTGTGTGTGTGTGTGTGTGTGTGCGTGTGTGTGTGTGCGTGCGTGCGCGCGCGCGTGTGCGTCTGTGTGTGTGTGAGAGTCTGTGGAGATCTGAGGAGATTTGTGGGAGATTGTGGAGGATCGCGCCTGCGCCGGCACCGCGCTCTCCCCTCGCTTGTGGTCCCAGCTCGGGTAGTGGAACCTACGCGAGATTCCCCGAGATTCCCCGAGATTCCCCGAGAGGAGTCCCCGCTAGGGTAGTGGGACCGGTTGAGCCCCGCATTGTCGATGACGAGGACTGGGCCTGCGGGGGGGGGAGAGCGGCGGGGCGGGGGGTGCGCGGGGCGGAGGGTGTGGGTATGGCAGAGGTGAGGAGCGTGGGTGTGGCGGAGGGGAGGGACGCCCCCCCCCCCGCCCCCCCTCCGGCTCTCGCACAGTGCCTCGCGGTGGAGACGAGGCACAGTGCGATACGAGTGGGAGTGTGCAGCCAGAGCCGTGCCCACCCGAGGGCAGTGCGTGTGCAGAGGGACAGTCTCGCCGCGTCTAGGTCACGGTGCCGCCGCCCGTGAGCGGGTCGTGCCCGCGCGCCTGGGGCGGGGGTTAGGGCCAGGGCTGGGGCTCGGCGAAGCTCGGCGAAGCTCGGCGAATCTCGAGGTGAATCTCGAGGCGAATCTCGAGGCGAATCTCGCCGAATCTCTTCCCGAATCTCTCGCCGAATCTCTCGCCGAATCTCTCGAGTCTAAGCGCCTGGAGCCACTCGACGACAAGTCCCTGCTCGGCGGGCCAGTTGAGCAGCTTCGCCGAGTCGCACGCGCACCTGCGGCACACCACAGCGGTCAGTGGCACCAGTTGAGCAGCTTCGCCGAGTCGCACGCGCACCTGCGGCACACCACAGCGGTCAGTGGCACGCGCACCTGAGGCACGCTCACAACTGACCAAGGGAGGGTGGAGGCACTGTGGGTCCGCTCCGTTGGACGACTGTTGGTCAGCTCAGTCGGGCGCACGCGCAGTTGCAGTAGATCTCGGAGCGCAGCGTCCAGGGACGCTCGGCTGATCTCGGCTCTCTCTCGGCTCTCTCGGCCAATCTAGCCCACATGTTGTAGATCTCCGAGAAGAAGCGCAGCGTCCAGTCGGTCGCTCGCGCGATGTGGACCTATGCGTTTCTTATTCCTCTCGTGAGGCTGTGAAAGCACGCCCCACCTAGCGGATTTGGTTAGACGAGCCGAGGGGCTTTGAAACGGCGTCGTGCAGTGTTCGGCGCCACCGCGCGGGAGGGTGAGGCAGCGACGGCAGTCGTGTAGCCGCACGTGTCAGTGCGTGTCTCTCCTCTGGGAAGGCCGGGGCCCATCTCCCGCATCTGGACTGCAGACTCCAAAGTTGATCGGCGAGCGCTTGAGGTCGAGGTAGTCCCGCGTGACGAGCAGGCTCGCGCGCCGCTCCTGCATCTGCCGCAGGTAGCTCTCCACGCCCCACTCGGGCCGCATCACAAACGCGTCCGCGTCGAGGTGCACCACGTAGTCGGAGCAGCGCAGCGTCGCGAGGAGCAGCGGGATGCGCGCCCACGCCCAGCTCTGCCGGAGCTGGTCGGGCCGGACGCCAAGCTCACAGTAGCGGTACCGCTGGGCCGCCGCCCAAGCCAGCCGGTTGTTGGTGACAAAGCTCGCCTGCGTCGCGTTGCTGAGTTGGAACTGACTGATGACGGTGACAGCGGGCGACGAGAGCCCGCTGGACGGGACCCAGCAGTTGTACTTTATGTCGGCGCGAGAGGGCCGCATCTCCACGGCGCCTTGCGCCGGTTCCTGTGTCGCGCGGAGCACGAACGCGCAGCACGAACGCGGAGCACGACCGACAGCTTCAGCCCACTTCTTCGGGTGTCGCAGCGCTGATTATCTTAAGAATTTATCTTAAGAATTCTTAAGATTTTAGCCTCTCTCACAGCACACTGGCACGACAAGGGCGCAGACTGGCGCGGACTGGCACACACACAGGCTCACCACCGGAGCCGCCTAAGCGACTCCGTTAAGAACGGCAATGCACTCCGCACCATGCACAATGCCGCTCTCCCCGCACGCTAGCTCGTTCACCGTCTGCCACGCCACGGCGGTGTGGAGGACGACAGACAAGCGCTGCATCTGCAGCCCGTGCCAGTTCTTGGTGGTCCATGTGACCTCGTCCAGGTGCTGAGCGTGCGAAAGTTTGTTGCTCAGCTGGTTCGCCGCCTCCCTCAGGGTGCTGCGAACCTCCTTTCCAAAGCCTCCGAAAGCCTCAAAATCAAACAAACGTAGATCGCAATCCTGCTGCCGCGCAAAGGGGTAATCGCCAGGCTGCTCCTTGAGCTTTCCCTTGGGGGCATCCTCCTCCTCCCCCTCCTCCCCCTCCTCCTCGGCCTCCTCCTCCTCCCCCGCCACCGCCGCTGCCGTCGCTTCCGACGGAGACCACTTGCCGCGCCCTTTGACCAACTTGAGCAGCCCGGTCTCCGTGTTGCCAAAGCGCACATAGGCCCCCTTCCAGCCGAGCTCTCCGTCGCCGGCCGTGTCCTTGCCCGTGCTCGCAAGCGAGCTCGTGAGCTTCAAATCGGCAACGAGGCGCCTGTGCCCCCTGCCGATGTTTGCCGCCGCCACGTCAGGTTGTTTTAAGAATTCTTTCTGTGCCTGTGACTCGCACGCGCCAGTTCGCACCTGTGTCGAGCCTGTCTGCTGTGAGAGTGAGTTGTTTTGTTAAAGGCCTAGGTAGGCCGCCTAATCGAATCGCCCGAAGCGCTAGCGCTTGCGCTAGCGCAAGCTCGCACGGCCTCTCACGCCCCGCTGCTGCCCTCTTGGCGGCTCTCCGCCCGCCAGCTCGACCAACTCGACCGCCGAGAGGCTGGGCTTGGCCGGCGGCGCGACGCGTGGCCTGTGCTGCGGCCATCTCGGACGTTCAAGCGGCGCCAGCCAGCGGCTTGGCCGCGCATCCTTCACACACGCCGCCACGACCGGGATGAGCGGGCCCGGTGTCGAGTCATGGTGCGAGCTGCATGTGAGGGGCGGCTGTGGCCACAGCAGGTCCACCAGACGGGCGTCAAAGCTTGCCGTCGGCGTGCTGTCGTGGGGGGTGCCCGACACGCATTGAGAGGAGCCGAGTGCAGTGGCGAGCCAAAGGCTGCCTGGGTCACCAAGTGATAGCCCTTGCCAATTCTGAGCAGGGATGTGCTTTGGTGGGGTTGTGCTTGAGCATGTGTGAAGTGGGAGTGCGTGCCGGCGGTGTCTGTGGCTGAAACGGGCGTGTGTGAGGCTGCAGAGCCGTGGTATGAGCCAGAGTGAGCTTCATCACCCAAGATAAGTGCGGTTTGGGACGGATCAGGCTTGATACTGATGGGCCTGGGCCAGGAGAGCGACAGAGAAGGCGAGGTGGTGAGCTGGGAAGCTGAGGGGTGGCCCGTCTACCGTCTCTACCGGTAGACTGGGGTAGACTGGGGTAGACGGTAGACCGTTTGGTAGACGAGTCTACCGCAGTCTACCGGTAGACCGTAATGAACCTTGCTACGACTGCAGTCTACCGGTAGACTTGGTAGACCGCGGTAGACTGGTCTACCCCTTTTTCAGCCGCCGAACGGTAGACCGCCGCCGCCGGACGGTAGACCGCCTCGGCCGTTTGAATATGCAGCCTCCAGTTCTCCACTCTGGCGCCACTTTGGCAGACGAGCGCCGGCAGATGCCCTCGCGGCCTGCCGGCGAACGTCCGTCCGGCGAGAACGCGCGCCATAATGGACGTGTGGCTGTCTGGCGAAAACTCGCTCTCGAGAGCCGCGAGAGGGCGGCGCTCTGCAGTGAGCGGTTCCCCCCGATGAGTGTGTAAAGACGTTCATTTGATCTCATAAAAGACACGGAGCGCGCCTCGCACGGAAATGGCATGAGATGAAGCTCACAGCGACCGCGCTCAACAGCCTCTCTCACCAGCAGATTTCGCCCGCGCGGCAGACCGCACTTTCATCGCGCGTTCTCGCCGGACGGACGTTCGCCGGCAGGCCGCGAGGGCATCTGCCGGCGCTCGTCTGCCAAAGTGGCGCCAGAGTGGAGAACTGGAGGCTGCATATTCAAACGGCCGAGGCGGTCTACCGTCCGTCCGGCGGCGGCGGCTACCGTTCGGCGGCTGAAAAAGCGGTAGACCAGTCTACCGCGGTCTACCAAGTCTACCGGTAGACTGCAGTCGTAGGTTCATTACGGTCTACCGGTAGACTCGTCTACCAAATGGTCTACCGTCTACCCGGTCTACCGGTAGACGGTAGACGGGCCACCCCTCAGCTGGGAAGCCGCTTTCTTTGTCGGCACCTGGACGTGTCGCGATGAAGTGCCAAAAAGTACTATTTGCGGCTATTGCTCAAAACTTCGGGAGATAAGGCCTACATATTATGACTGCATCCATGCGCCTGGTGTATGAGGGCTGCGGTACGAGACATATCACGGTCGGTGGCGCCGATGATGACCTCCGGAAAGCCCTCGCAATCGCCTCGGATGGGGTCCACCGGAGACAATCTCGAGCCCTCTCCGTGGCATCACGAGCCGGTGTGAGCTTGCAGACCCAAGATAAGTGCGGTTTGGGACGGCTCAGACTTACTACTGATGAGCCTGGGCCAGGAGGGCGACAGAGAAGGCGAGGTGGTGAGCTGGAAGCAGGAAATGGCAAACCCCGCAAAGTGACCCGTTTTTACCCACCCACGCCCGTGCGCGCGTATCTTAGCTAAGGTACGCGGCCACACGCGCTGGCGCGCACGGCAACCGGGACTTACACGCGCGACACGAGGAACTGTGTATCCGTGCCTGCGAGCCTGCCTCGGGGGAGAATAGCCGCCCTCACCCGCTGCCGCGCATCGAGCTCGGCGGGGCTGATACGTGTCATTCTGTGCCGGCGCGTATCTTAGCCAAGATACGCGGCCACACGTGCAGACGCGTATAGCGAAACTCGCGCCCACACGTGCAGCCGCCTATCTATCTTGGCCAACACAGGCGGGCGTGAGCGCGTGAAACGGCCCGTCGGCGAAGGCGACTCGCGCTGGCACGTGCACAGAGGGATGTTGAGATACGCCGCTACACGTGTGGGCGCCTATCTAGGGGAACATCGCGCCCCATGCGTGGGCGTGTATGTCACGCGGTACGCGGCTGAGACGAGTGCAGCCGCCTATGTTGGCCAAGATAGGCGGCCGGCTGCACGTGTGGGCGCGAGTACCGCTATACGCGTCTGCACGTGTGGCCGCGTATCTTGGCTAAGATACGCGCCGGCACAGAATGACACGTATCAGCCCCGCCGAGCTCGATGCGCGGCTGCGGGTGAGGGCGGCTATTCTCCCCCGAGGCAGGCACGGATACACAGTCCCTCGTGTCGCGCGTGTAAGTCCCGGTTGCCGTGCGCGCCAGCGCGTGTACGCGCACGGGCGTGGGTGGGTAAAAACGGGTCACTTTGCGGGGTTTGCCGCAGGAAATAGGATTCCTAGCGCTTTGGCAAAAGCATCGGACGAGGTCACACGCGGACGCTCCCGGATGAGCGGCGCCCTCCCAACCCGCCTCGCCGACCTGGCGCGGGGCGACCTGGCCTGGCTGCGCGACTTCCTCTCCGGGCGGCGGACGCGCGGCACGTCGCTCGCGGCCCAGCTCGACGCGCGGCACGACACCGAGAGGCAGGACACGCTGCTCACCTGGGCCGCTCGGCACGGGCAGGCCGAGGCGGTGCGGCTGCTGCTGGAAGGTGGTGCGAGTGTCGGGGCGACGACTGGCGGCGGCGCTTCCGCGCTGTATATCACGAGCCAGGGGGGGCAGATTGAGTGCGCCCGGCTGCTCGTCGAGGCTGGCGCGGCGGTCAACCAAGCTGCTGACGGTGGCGTCACGCCGCTGTTCATCGCGTGCGAGAGGGGGCAGCTCGAGTGCGTCCGGATCCTTCTCGAGGCTGGCGCAGCGGTAAGCCAAGCCCGCAACGACGGCTCCACGCCGCTGCACATGGCGTGCCTGAAGGGCCACCTCGAGTGCGCCCAGCTGCTCCTCGAGGCGAGCGCGGCGACCGACCAAGCCGCACAGGATGGCGCCACGCCGCTGTTCATCGCGTGCCAGAGCGGCCGCCTCGAGTGCGCCCAGCTGCTTCTCGAGGCGGGCGCGGCGATAGAGCAACCCGTGGACGACGGCACCACGCCGCTGTCCGTTGCGAGCTTCGCCGGCGAGATCGACTGCGCCCGGCTGCTCCTCGAGGCTGGCGCGGCGGTCAACCAAGCAGACGCTGAAGGCTTCACGCCGCTGTACGTCGCGTGCCAGGAGGGCCACCCCGAGGTCGCCCAGCTGCTTCTCGAGGCCAGCGCTTCAGTCGACCAGGCCGATGAGGAAGGCTGCACGCCACTGTACATCGCGTGCGAGAGAGGCCAGCTTGAGTGCGTGCAGCTGCTTCTCGAGGCTGGCGCGGCGGTCAACCAAGCCAAGCAGAGTGGCGCCACGCCGCTGTCCATCGCGTGCCAGGAATGCCACCTCGAGTGCGTTCGGCTGCTCCTTGAGGCTGGCGCGGCGGTCAACCAAGCCCGCAACGACGGCTCCACGCCGTTGTTCGCTGCGTGCCACAACGGCCACCTCGAGGTTGCCAAGCTCCTCTCCTCCTATGGCGCCTCCCGCGCCGCTACGCCCTTCGGCACGCCCGAGGAGATCGCAAACAGCCAAGGCCACACCGACCTCGCCGCCTGGCTGGTCGCCAGCCGCGGCTGGACGCCGCTCGCGCACCTTGAGACCCTCACCGCCGCCCGCGCCACCGCCCTCCTGCGCAGCGGCGCAAGCCTGCACGAGGGCGAGCCGACGCCGCTGCGGCGCGCCGCGGGCGGCGAGGGCGAGGCGGCGGCGCTGATCCGGCGGGCGGCGGCGC